CAAAAACAAATGCCTCCATCAAACCAAACAGATGAATGAATACATTGACCTGATTAGTTGGCTTAAATCAATTTCACTGTAGACATTGAAATGCTTGGAGCTTTGTGGGTCTCATTTGAATATGTTCTGTAGTAGTCTTTAGGTACGTCTAGTATGTATGGATGCTTATGTCTCTATAGCTATGTTTTCCAAATAGAAATGGCTCCAGGACATCAGTGTAATCATCACTGCAAATCTGAGTTTTATGAGTTTAAATTTGTTAATATATGTATTTATTGCTGTGTTGATCTAAATGATGTCCTGTGGACCATGGCTATATTTACATCTAAAATCATATGTAAATGATGCATACCAAGATATTGGGTGGCGTTTTTATTTTCTGAAACCCAAAAACTGAGAGCTCTACAACACAGGAAAATATAGCAAACATGCTGATGGACCAGCACTACAGAACTGTAGATATCTGCACTGAAACCACATCAAAGAATGCTGAGCTGTCCTAATACATTCTTTTATATCAATTTTCAGAGACCACCATGGCATAGGACTGCTAGGAATTGAGCAATACACGGAAGACTTATCCATACATACTTATCTGTTAAATAATAATAATATTAATAATAATTAAAAGTTTAAGGCAAAAGTAGGCTAAAGTCTTTTGATTTACTTTTAGATTGTAGTAAAAATATTGTACAGTAAAACATTCAAGAATAACACTTAATAAAAAGGAAGATCTTAATGTTTGTTTATAAAGCTTTGAGATTTGTACAGCTTTATAGATTTAAAGGGTGAAAGAAAAGCACAGCCCCAGAAAGACTGGCAGAGTTTTTTTAGAGACAATATTAGAGAATAAGGGAAATCATTTGTCTACAAATTTAAATTTTTACTAGAAATGTACATATAAAAAGAGCAGAAGCTGTTTAGTTAAGTCAATCTGAATATATATATAGATTAAATAGCCAAAAACTGCTTACATAAGACCACCATATAAAACACCTATCTAATATCAGTTTAGGTTATTTCATGCTAGTAATGCTTAATGTGTCATGTTAAATACATTTTGATCGTTATGAAAATATTATATATTTAAGTAAGATCTGTAAAATTTCCTCTTTTTTAAAACAAGTACTAGGAATCGAATTTACCAATGTTTTAGAATCTACGTTCAACCAATATAGAAAAATAAAAAAATGTTGCATTTTATTTTAAGCAGCTGTTTTCATTCAGCTACAGAATTGGAACGGAAAATATTGAAAGTAATATGCTTAAAAACTCAGTGTTTACAGTTAAACTGAAATCAAAGTGGTGCCAGAAATCTGATTCAAAACGATCCACATTTGAGGACAGAATGTGTGACAAACAAAAGACGGCATTTTAATGCCTTTTTTGCATGTGTGCATGTGCAGGATGATGATACTTTACTGATGACCGCTTTAAATGTCTTTGAAAGTTACTTGATGTAAAAAATGAGAATTTCAGCCTATGGACTATGTAAATAAAACTAGTCATCTAACTGTATGTAGGCCATGTAGAATGCTATTGTAAATGATCTAAATAGTCAGTCTGTAATGTAGAATTGCTTATGAAGAATATTGTACAGTAAAGGTGTTACATTAGCAATACCTTGACATAAATTCCAATTTAAGTAGTTTAAAATTCAAATTTCTATTTCAAATCATTGCATTTAAAGCACTGCTTGTTTTTGTTGTGGAAAGAGGTTGAATGTTATGCTCTCTGTGGCCAAAAATAAAACTAGGCTCTACTACAGTGGCCTAGGTCCTTTACAGCACAAGAAAGTGCTACTGTAACCTATAGACAGCTGAGCAGTCTGTTATCGACACTGTTCACTCAGATGGGTTCACATGGAGGTGTTGTGATCATATGAGCTCTATAGAGAAACACTGTTTCTAATTACTATAGAGCATAATGTTTAATGTGAATATTCTAACACTGAGCTGAAGTTAGCCGTAGATAAATCTTTAATTTGTTCACAGTGGAAATTATTTCATCAAGGTAAACTATGTGGAAATGCACTAAATAATATGGGGGGAAAATAACCAGATCTACAACATACAGGCTAAATAACCAACGCATCTTGCACTGCACTTACTGGCATTTTAAAATCCATTTGACAAGTCAGAACTTGTGTGTTTTCTTTGGGCACATTGTTCACATTTGTCCTTCAGATTTTTTGCATCTAAGAGTTTGATTTCAGTCTGAGACCCACCTCCTTGCTGATTGCCAAACATTTAAAACAGTCCTGCTTTATCAGTCCACCTCTACTCTTGTTTACAGAGCTGCTTGGAAGCATTCGTCTTTGTTTTTTTCTCTCTTAACAGATTTTGGGTAGGAATTGAGGGGGGAAGGTCTGTTCAAGTGAACAAAGTTTGAATTTTTACTTTTCATTCAACATAACATTTTGTTTTATATATTTAATTTGGAAATGCATTTATGTATGTGAATGAATGTGTGTGTATGTGTGTGTATCTCTCACTGATCTAGCAAGGCAGATATTTTATGAAGGTTTACAGTGTATTTTGATGATGAATTCATGAATGAGCAAACTCTTCCATTTTGAGCTTGAGGAATAGCCGTCTAATGATGGTCATGTACTGGTTGCGCTTCACAGGTGAGCAGGATCTCATAAAGATGTGATGTAAGAAAGTTGTTTCTGTAATGAGAGTAATCTGAGAAACTCTTAACGCACGTGTGTCAGACTCCAGTCCTCGCGGGCCAAAACACTGCAGACTTCAGCACACTGCCTTATTAAACACACCTGATTCAGATGATCAGCTAATTAACCGAACTGAATTCAGAGCGTTAGATGAGGATAAACACTAATCTCCGCAGCACTTTGGCCCGCAAGGTTTCCAGTTTGACATGTAAGTAAGTGTTAATCTAATAAAATGATAAGATATAATGATAATAAGTTAATAATAATGAATAGTCAGTTCTTCAGTGCCTGGAAATGCTTGGACATAGAAACTGTCCGCATATGCCATGTCGGACCACCAACTCAGTCAAAATGCTTGAATTCTTGACACGTAGGCATCATAACCACAGTCTTTCACAATGACTCAGTTGTTTCTCTCCCAGAATGTGTTTGGCCACTGAATCCAGTGATGCAGAGTCGTGGAAAAAACAAGCGCTGAACTGTTTTCCTCTGGCATTAAGAATGTAAACATTCAGCATTTCTTGCCGGAGCACTTGCACTTTAATTCGTTATGAGTACATTTGAGAGGGCCCCTGTTTAACCTGCTATTCAGAGCAAGAGCTGATTGGATTTTCTGCCACAATGGAAATAGTTGTATGGAAGGGGCTGCCATTGGTAAACCAGAGCTTGAGAATGGCTCCAGGATCTTCTCCATTTCTGTTTATTCTATTCTGTCTATCCCAGGCTTCAGTGACTACAAAGTAAAACACAACATTGGGAATAAAAAGTTTTCTCAATTGAACGTAGCCTTACAAAAGTTTGGATGTATGTTAGTTGGCCAATGGAAAAAGTAAGAAAAAAATATTTTTCTTTAAAAAAACAAAAAAGGCTTCTTTTTTGTTTTTGTTTTTACACCATTCAGCTACATTTGTAAGTAGTCATTATGAGTTGTTTAACTGTGATGCGCTACCTGTGGTGACATTTGTGGCTTTTGGCTACATTTAGAATGGGAATGGGGAAATAGCCAGTATCTTGGGGTAAGTTCATTAACTGTAGTATTACAATGCTTTACGGTTTGTTCATCCATGTATTCTTATTTTTTTCATGACTGCAATAGAATATGACTGTTTTCATGCACAGGCCTGAACCATGTATGTTCTCATGTTCATGTCCTAAAAAATGTCACACATTGCTTCTTCCAGACTTCATACAGTAAATAAGTACTGGCTGGTTGCTGCTGATTTGTAAAGGCACTTTCCCAGCTTGGACCCTCCATATCTCTCCACTGTTACTTCTTTTCATTAAGTTTTACTGAAGAATTCTGTGTAGTGTTTTGAACTGATTGATCCTTTCACCAAGTTAAGAAAATATTCTGCTATAATTTCTTCTTTCCGTCAGTTTCAATGCTGTTCTTACTTGCTCTGTATTATCAGAAGCTTCTGTCATTGTCATCACATCCAAACTATCGTCTCTCAATTGAAAACCATTTGCGAAATATGTTCTTTCTTACTTTTGCTCACAACCAGAGGCGATTCCAAATCAACACCTAGTAATATTTTACAGAGGAGAGTTCTTACTGAAGAATCAAACCTTTCATTGCTGAGAAACCTTCCTTCAGAAACCTGTCTTTCTGTGCTGCAGGCTTGAATTGAATTGATGTTCTTCAGGAAGCACCGAATGCAGCTTTCCCATTTATTCTTGAGCCATGTTACTGTATTGGCTGTGTCTCGTCTTTGGGGATTCTACCACTGTGTCTCACTCTTCTTCTTTGGTGATATTCTGATATTCCGTCACTGGAAGTTTCTTCAGCTTTTTCTATCTTATTTACGCTTCAGTGTGCAAATTTATGAGTGGGGTTCATTTAAGACCCTGCCAACAACTTGAAGTTGAATTCTTTCAGACTGAATGGACTTTGACTAAAAAGGCTCATTTTCAGTGGATTGATTACAGAACTGTCAAATACCCCAATTCATCTTTATCTGAAAATACCATTCTTGCTTCAAGGTAATGTCTTAAGGACCTTTTCTAGTTTTAATAACCTGATCATTCACTCAGCGTTTAGCTGGTGTTCTTTCTGCATTCAGCTTTCTTTCATCCTGAGTCATATCTGGTTTCAGGCAGCATAAGTGCATGTTCTAAAGTTTCATTTCTGTTGCAGTCAGAACTTTGTTTCAGAACAAAAAATGTCTTTATTGGCTAATAACAATGTTGATGTCAAATGATTTGTTATTACCAGGTTAAGAAAGGCAGAAAGGAACTGTGTGTATGAGTGTTTATAGATGTGTGTGGGTGGGTCACTTTTACAGTAGACCAAGAACGCTAACATTCTGATTTTATCGTTGCGCAGCTTGAGAAACGCTAGTGGACTGACTGCAGCTGACCTAGCCCATGCCCAGGGCTTCCAAGAGTGCGCCCAACTGTTGTCCAACGCGCAGAACCAGCAGCTCAGCCAACTTAACGGCTTCTCCACCAGTAACTCACCGGGGTTGCTCAACGGGGGCCACCAATTAAGCCAGGGGCGGAGCTTCCTTAACGGGGCACCCAATAGAAAGAGGTCCCTTGAATGCATTGAGCCCAGTCACTTTAAAAAGGCCAGAACCAGCGGTAGGTTGAGACATTTGAATTATAACATACTAATTACAGCCCAAGCGATAAATCGGCGTGCCGATATTATCGGCCGATATGAGCTTGTTTCAGATAAAACAATATCAGAGTTGATAGTGGCTGACAAATTACGGAGAGGTGGAAGGCAGGTCTTGCAGCCATGCTGTTGTGTAGTTTGTCCAATAGAGGGTGCTCTGCAGCTTCTCTGTTGGCAACACACGCGTGTTTGGAACACCACAAATCACACAAAGCAAAGTCTAGTACCCCACGACAGGGATAGTCTGCATTCATGGTAAGCTGAGAAGTGTCACGTGAAATACAAAACTTAAATAATGCAAATATCCCCATTGCTTCTCTCAGCCTAAATAAGCCTGGCAACATTCATGTCAGCCATGCCTTCTTTTGCTGCAGTAAGATTGGCCTATGTTTAATGTTATTGTAGTTGAGTGGTGCAGGCTACTCTGTTGACAGACTTTGTAGATTTATTTATTTTGGCAGTTCTACACTGTTAGAAATAAAGGTTCTGTGCAGGTACATTGTTTATCAAGGTACAAACAATGTAAATGTTCCCTCAAAGGTACAACAGTGGTTTTAAGGTCCACCTGTGTACCTTAAATACATTTTTCACAGGTGAAAAAATACATATTTGTACCTTTTACATAACTTAATGTTTTAAAACAGAACAGTAAAATAAAAAGCCTGGAGACGAGACGGGGTGTGTGGAGTCAGTACAGCTTAGAAAGTATACTTTCAATGGATTATGGTACAATTATGTTCCCTGACTAAAGATACTGAGATTTACCCCAGTGACAGTTTCATACCTTTGTTTCTGAGAGTGTAGTGAGTAAACAAACAACGATCCTATCTTTTCTCACTAGTTCATCACTTCTAAAAAATTATGCACACTGCACACTATCACAGTGTGCTACACATAACTGCTCATAAAAATGTTGAGGAAAATCTTTGTATTTCTGCAGAAGATGGAAAAAATAATATCGGCCGATATATCAGATTTTTAAATTCTCAAATATCAAAATTGGTTAGGCTCTTATACTGCTAAATAATTGGTATATCTAAGGATGCGAGATATTTGAACCAAACATCCTCTTAAAATCCCAGGGAGTTAAAATGTGTGTGTTTTTTAAATCTCATCACCAATCTCAAATCGCTGTGGTTTGATTGCATTTAAAGGGGCATTCAGACCTAAAACTATTTGTTATGCAGTGTTTTGTAGCTCATCATATTCTTCTTATTTTTATTTTTTGTTTTACTAATGTTCTCTTATTACAATACCCAACATACATTACACAAAAACATTATATAACTACTGGTTATCACTGTGGTGGATTGGCAGCCAATCTTGACTGCTTATCTCACCACTAATCTATAGTCTGGTGATAAAATCTAATAACAAAACCAAGACAGCATTAGTTTAAGTCTTACTCTGCTGTCAAACAAGATTGTAAAGAAAAGAGATTCATTATTCAGCACAAAGTAGATACCAGAGACACATTTTTAGCCCTTTCAGCCAGAGAAAAGAAGCCAAACTGGGAAGGTATCTAGATGGCCAAGTGGATACCATGCAACTAATTTTAATCCATTCTCCCCATTGTAATGATAAGTTACCACACACATACATATCCAAAAAGATATTCAGCTTCCTAGCAGCAACATTAGCTGCTTCCTTCTGCATTCGCTAGCCAGTAAACAAAACATTTAAAAATGGTCTGCCTCAAAAAATCCACCCCAAAGAATTCTCCCACCTTCGAGATACATCACGAAGGGGGCTTTTTAGTTTTTAAACCAGGAAATCTCACTCTACAGACTACTGCATCACTGCTGTATGATGCACATAAGCATGTTTTCAACAACAGTGATTCCTTTTGTCCGCAGTGTCCCTTTTAAGCACCATTTTAATTATTCATAGGTGTTCTGTGTACATCCATGTGTATATCTGCTCATCCAGAACTTGCATTTAATACTTTTTTATTGTTCATCTCTAATATTTTGGGAACTAGAATAGGTTTTCTCACTGTATGGTCACTTGACATTTCATATTCTGTTACATATAATTGCAGATCTGGATGTTCAAATGAAAATGATGAATGGGATGAACGGGTCTGGTGGAGAGGACCTGATGGAGACCATGCACATGGAGTTTGGTCCTGCACCAAGCAACACAGGTGGGAATGGATCCTTAAACGGATCGCTTCCTTTGGGCTCCAGTGCCATAACCACCCTAACAGAGCAGGAGCAGGGCTGCAGAATGGAGAGCTCCTCCTCTCCGGCCCCAAAAGAGCTGGAGATCTTCACAGTGGCTTCCATGCAAATTCCCTGTCGCTGCACTAACTCCTATGCTTACCTGTAGTGGCCTTTGCTGTGTTTGTGTGCGAGAGAGTTTGAAAGAGTTGATGTATATAACTGAAAGGCTGACACAAAAAAGGGTTTGTTCACAAGTATAGCATCCTTGTTTTTTCTTATTTTTAAACTGTATGATATACACACAGCTTTAGATTAACAGTTATATACAGGCGTATACTTTTTGAGGTTTTGCCTTATTGTTCCCTTGTCTGAAAATGGAAAAGAAAATTGATTTAGTTGCACTGTTTGAACCATTCCAACTTCATATATTAGTGTACTTTTGTTTTGCACAATAAGTTTCCTAAATCAGTGTGTGATTTTGATTGTACCACCTGAGAATATAAGCATTTACTGATTAGATCTGTTTGTAAGGGTTGTAGTCATGTTTAACAGCAGTGCTGATGCCCAGATCTTCTTTTTTAAGTACATGTTGAATTTGTCTGTGATCTGACCGTAGTGTTTACTCAGCACTGTCTCCGCCCTGTGGGCGATTTGCCTGAGGATTTGGTTGAACTCTGGTTGACTTTGTTCTCTACTGACCTGAGAGTGGGATCTGTTTTTCCTTGCCTTGAGAGACAAAGAAGGGAATTTGTTCCAGCTCTAGAAATTGGCACTGTGCGAATCCTCCATGAACTGTTTGTGTTCTTATTATTGTTTTCTTTCATTTGTTTGTTTTTACCATGAATTGTATAATGCCAAAGCATATCTGTACTCTACATGAATGTATGAGATGTATGTTTGAAACTTCTCTGTGCAGCTTTTCCATGTGTTCATAGTAACTGCTGGGTGCTATTTAAGCTGATTTCTTGATTTTTCAGTCTTTTTGACAAGCAGTCTGTTTGTAGCTTTGTACTTTGCTGTGGGAGTTCTGGAAGTTTCTTTGTGTTTGTTTGAGGCTTGCTGTATCCTCGTGACTGTATGAGGGGCTAAAAGTTATGTTTGTTGAATTTGGTGTGTAGCCTATATTTGTTTTTTCTCTGTTCTTATAACTTTGATGGTCATTTAAACGAATAAAGCGGACTCAGAAATTCTGTAAAGTTTATTAAAGCACTCCTTTTGCCATAATACCATAATAAAAGGCATCTCAATTACAAGAAACTATGTAATCTTTTCTTGGCTATACGCTTTAATACATGGCACCTGAGCCCAGAACTTGGCACACAAACTAAAATGGGTGTCATGAAGTGCTGGTTTGGTTTTTTAGACCTGTGAAAGATCAAGAGAGACATATTCTGATTGCAAGGTGTGTGTTTAAACCCTGTAGCAAGACACTTAATATTGATGCTTTTCTGTGCTCATTAAATGTCTCGTCATTTAATTATTGGCCTGGTGGCTAAAGCTTGTGTTTTATGTTCGCCTGTGATTTTGTTCTAGGTTTTTTGGGGATTGTGACTGGCCCTCTGGTGGTGGACAAGCAGAAGGGCAGTTTGGGTTTTATTTTTTTGGGAAAAACAATATGGGGCAGATTTAGGAAGAGGTTTTCTCTCATTCCTTTACAAGAATTCTTAGAATGTAAACAGAAAGCCAACTAACATCCTGCTACGATTGTTCGTCTCTCATTTTCTCAGTATCAGTCACATCATTTCCTGACCTTTACAGTGAAATCAGATCAGTGTTCTGTTGATGTCGTGACCTGACTTGCTTTGAGGTTAATGTTTGGTAAATGTAGGGCAGTGTGCTGATTTTTCCTCTGTGTGTACCAAGGTAAAAGTTATCACTACATGAATCAGGACTTTGCCCGCCACTATCAAGGGGTTGATGTGTGAACGTGTTATATAAGGCAGTTTCATAATCTATTGACAGACTATCACAATGACTATCCACCCTGACCCTTAAAATCCTCTAATAGATAGAAAAGGAGATTCATCAGAAATTATTGTGCAAAACAAAACTTATGTTCAGCAAAAATAAAATATATCAATCTTAAATGTCCTTAAGGTTGATTTCTTCTCTCCAATGCCAGGAAGCACTTTTAACATGCCTCACCTGTCTGGAAAAATCCAAGAGAGTGAGAATGGGAACACGGCCTTCGTGCCAGAAGCTGGGATGGGCTTCCCTTTGCACTGTGGCAACCTTGGCAATGGTTTTCACTTCAACCACCAAAATGGCTTTGGAGACACAGCTGAGAGCGTTGAGGATGTCAGCAGTCAGATAGAGCACCGGAAGTCGATTAGTGTTGAGGAGCAGTATGACTACACTTTCTTCAGCACCCTGCATCTCTTTCATGGGTCTTAAAAAGCCAGAGCGATCAGTTTGATATCTCATGCCTTTAATTGAGAGGTTATTAAGGAGTTCCCTATACAGTGTATGTAAATATTCCCCATTAATCACAGTTAAAAAAAGTTTAATATGAACCAGAAGGGGTGGAAATTCCCTGTTACCCCCTAACTGTAGGACTGTTAGGGTCTGGTCAAGTGTGTTCTTTTATCTGAGAGACTTGCTTCATGTATCAGGAGCTCTTTGCATCTGTTTGGTTTGTGATACCATTTGGCTCCTGGATGGATTCTAATCTGGATGCAAACTATGAGCTGGTGCAGTGTGATCTCAGTCGTGCCCTGTAATCTGTTCTCTGTCTAAATAAAACTATTCACCTGGACTTTCTCTCTCAGTGTGGACTTGATAGTGTCCTTCCCTCCCACCACCAACTGTGTCAGCTGTGGCCTTTTGGGTATTTAGTACCATTTCCCAACTCCACTTTCATAGTCCATAGTTAGGTGCTCCAACACCCCAGATTCAACTTCAGAAGAACTTAATGTGGCTGAGGTGCAGGTCCAAATTGCTGCTCCAATATGCATTCAGATCTAACAGGGCTCACTTTAGGGTTGATAAAGAGCTAATTCAATTTTAACCAGTAAAAAATGACTGAAATTCTAATTATTACATGTAAAAAATCTATTTCTTACTAGTGAAAATCAAATTCTTACCATTACACACACACAGTGTAGCCAAAAGAATGTAGACACCTGACCATCACACCCATATGAGCTAGTTGGACATCCTCTTCCAAAACCATGGGCATTAATATGGAGTTGGCCCTCCTTTTCAGCTATAACAGCCCACACTCTTCTATTAAGGTTTCCACAAGATTTTGAGATGAAGAGAAAATGTTTTATTTTTCCATATAATGACTACATTTTTAACATGCAACAACTCAATTTGCACTAGTAAAAACAATAAAACCATATATGATGAGTATTTCAACATAACATTTTATTTTACATTAACTAGAGTCATTCATACTATTAAAAATGTTCCTCCCATTAAAATTAATAAGAAAAGACCATATGGAGTACATGCAAAAATGTAATTACCACTTATAGTTTTAATTTACCATCCTAATTTAATTTCTAATTGAATGATTTTTGCTTTTAAATCTATTGTTTTAATCATGTTTTTAATTTCTATTCTCGTTTACTTTACTTTTTTTTAAACAACTCTGTATTTTCTGATTGTATTTTCCCATTTGTAAAGCACTTTGAATGACCTCAGAATATGAAAGATGTTATATAAATAAACTCGCCTTGCCTTTAAAACGTCTCGACAGGTTAGAAACAGATTAGTTACACGTCAAATGGCCTGTATTACTAGTTCTCATAAAATGTTCACCTGTTTTAATACATTTCTTATGGAAAATACTGTGGATTCAAAGCTAGAACAGCTTTCCGTGCACCAGCAGCAAAGCTGTAAAGCGAACTGAGTGCAAGACTGACCACAAATGATGGTAAAAGGACGACCTCCTCCTCCTCTCCTCCTCCGCCACCTACCTCCCTCCTCCTCCATCGCCACCTACCTCTTTACTGCTGGGGCCTGTCCGCTCCACTCCACCGCAAACAGCAACAAAACGTCATCGCTGCTCCTCCAGTACAGACTTTACCAACTAGGCACAGTGTGGGGGGGGTTATATTTTAACAGTCTTATTATTCAACCACATTTACGTTTACACAGTAAAAATGTCTCGTAATGAGTTAAGCAGAACGGTAACTGAATACAACATATATTATTTAAACTGTCAAAGATCCATGAGGCGTCAACATCACTGTCCCCCCGTGTATTCGACATGGTACAGGCTGTGACTCCTTGATGAAATTCGTGTAGTCACTAGGTTAGCCGAGGTGTAGCTGTGTTAGTTTACCGCAGTTTGCCGAGCGCTTCGGCGTACAATACGGTGTAAATATCTATTTGTTAACCTAGATAGCCAACTAACAATGTCAACCCCTGCCAGAAGACGACTTATGAGAGATTTTAAAAGGTGAGTAACATTATTTGATGTGTTCTTTGTGGGTAAGTTAGCTGACGCTACGTAAGCTAGCCGGGCTGTAGCTGGTTAACCGGCGTTCTGCTCTGCTCTGTTCAGTTCAGTCGGCTCCTGTTAACTTTCTCATGGATTTAGTCGTATTTTAATGCTGAAATATCAGTATTTCGCTCGGACCTCTTAAGGATTTCACTCCTAAATTCATACGGACGACGAGGCTGAACTTGGCTTCTTATTCGCCAGGTTCTTCTTCGAATTTTCCCGTTCTACCTTAAATGGCACAGCAGGTACATGGAAGTGTCGCACCATTTAAGGTGGAACGGGAAAATCCGAACAAGAAGCTGGTTTCAGCTTCGTCTTTTGACGAGTACTGGTGAATCCTCGATACCGAGTAGCATTTTACAGGTTACAAAAATCAATTTATTGTATAAAACAATGATCACGTAAGACGTTATGTCTATAATTTAGTAGTTATATCAGTACAATTAGCTACATACTTCACATTTAGGTTGTTGGGTGGCTAAAATGTCTTACTGCTCGACGTCTCACTGAAAATGTTAAGTTCTGATAATAGCTTTTCCTTCCTCTTATAGACCATGAATATCTACCATGGTGTGATATTGGGTGTTTTTTAGACGTTTTATGGTCAGGAAAGTCGCTGTCTAGCTAAACTTAGCCTTGGATACCTTACCAGCCAAAGCGGCCTGGAGATAACGTTAGCTAAACATAAGGTGAGGTACGCTGTCTGGGTCACCAAGGTGTATCAGCAGAGTAAAAACAACATTACACTGTTAAAAAAGGTGGTTCTTCAAGGGTTCTTTAGTGAAGGGAATGGTTCTGTGTAGAACCATGAGTTGTATATAGAACATGAGTTCTGAATGGTTCTTTGCATGATGAAATCGTGCTTCAGATTGACGGAGATTGTGTTGTATAGAACATTTTCTGTATAGAAGATTTTTGAGAATAGTTCAATATAACCTACCAGAAAAGGTTCTTATGTAGTTACAATGTCAAGCTCGTAACAGTAGATTAACCCTTCTTGGTGCTACATAGAACCATTTTCAAAAAGCGTCTATATAGAACCACATACCACACATGTCCATCAGTCTGAATAACTTATTTTTTTTCAGATATTAAGTAAAAGAAACTGCGACCAACCTTCCTTGATATATTTTCATACTTTTTGCCGTCTGTGTCAAAATAGAAGTTTAGACGTAAACCTAAAACGAGGACTCTGAGAGGTAGGGCATTTCAACAGAATGAGTGGTCTGATTGTGATTGGTGGTTTTGTGTTATCTGTCGTGTGTGATGAGTTCATGTTCTTTCTGCCCCCACAGGCTCCAGGAGGATCCCCCAGCTGGGGTCAGTGGTGCCCCATCAGAGAACAACATCATGATCTGGAACGCAGTCATTTTTGGGTAAGCAGGACACAACTGTGGTTCTTACGAAGTGCTTGTGAGTTTGAGTGCCCAAATAAGTGATAAAATTCAAGAAAGTAGTAATTTAAACCATTTCTTTTTGCTTATTTTTATTAAGTCAATGTTGATTTGAAGTGTTGTAATGTGAGATCTAGGTAACAAGTCTCCTGGTAGGGTGGCGACACCTATGTGTCCCAATTACAGTTGGCCTAAATATTTGGTTCCTGCTTATGACTAAATCTTTCTACTTCAAGTAATCACTTCTCTTTGTACATTTTTTTTTTTTCCCCCTGTTAACAGCCCAGAGGGTACACCTTTTGAAGATGGTAAGCGCTGCACATACTGTACTCATTTTCATAGTTCAAATACTTACCCAGGCAAACTATATGTAACTCTGTATTTAAACCACCCCTAGGTACGTTCAAGCTAACAGTTGAGTTTACAGAAGAATACCCGAACAAGCCCCCAACTGTGAGATTTGTCTCAAAGATGTTTCATCCAAATGGTGAGTGGTCATCTCGCTTGCTTTTGGGCTAGAAACTATTAAAGGCCTATTTTGTTTAGTAAGGAACTAAACCAGGGTCAGAACCTGTTACTGGATATCCAGTACAAGTCTTGACTTAAACCACATACATTTTGAAACCTGAGCAGCTTCAGGCTAGCTTTGGTTCTTCAACAGTAGATATGTGTGCTCAAAGTTAAAGGGAAATTCCATCTGTTTTCAAAATGTAATTGTAACTCAACCAGATAAAACTACTATATTTGCACTATAGATATAGGGTGGCCCCTAGTTAAAGACTTGGTCAGTCAACATCACATTTCTTTAATTATAAAGTGTTACTACTGTTATCCTTTGTAAATAAAACTACATTACATTGATTTGTCCAGAACCTGTTTTGCTGAACTCCCGCTGTCTTTCTGTTTGTCCACAGTATATGCAGATGGCAGTATTTGTCTGGATATTCTTCAGAATCGTTGGAGTCCAACATATGATGTTTCATCTATCCTGACATCAATTCAGGTCAGCAATCAGAGAGAGTGGGGAAAAAATACTGAAAACAAAACTTGGAGTAAAAATAGCACTGTACACAGACTGATATCTAGCTTCTTTATTCTCTTTGGCTTTTATCACATAAATATATTGAGATTAAAATAGCTGACTAAATCTGATGTCTAGACTGATATGGTTTATTTGAGACTTGGTTTAGAAATTTGCTTGTGACTCAACTTGTATTTGTACTTTTATAACTGAAGAGAAACATGCATTCTACACTAGTTTTGCTGTTAATTGAAACTCGATCAATTTGAAAGTTACCTTATTATTATTAGTAGTAGTATTATTATTACTACTACTAGTATTACTACTATTATCTAAATGGGCTGAGAACGTGCAGGACCTTGCCTTTAAATTCATCAACAATGGTAGGATATCTGTCATGTCTGTGAAGAAAAGGGAGAGTCAGAGTTTTTCTTTGCACTGTGAGCACTACAACTTTTCCTTGTTTTTTGACATGCACTCCTAAATGTTAACTCTCTTCATTTTTGTTTCCCCACAGTCCCTTCTAGACGAACCCAATCCCAACAGCCCCGCAAACAGCCAGGCAGCTCAGCTCTATCAGGAAAATAAACGAGAATATGAGAAACGGGTGTCCGCTATTGTTGAGCAGAGCTGGAGAGACAGTTGACCACACACTCGGACTTAATGTTTCTCTTGTTTTGTGGTCAGTCGTGGAAAAATATTATCAATGTTTCTTTTTAATTTTGTATGCACTTTACTTACTTTGCCGTACAGGATCATGTTTTTTGATTGTTTGATTGCATTGATGTTCCGTCATGCACGACTAATTTTGAATCTGTTGTGAATGTTTCAAACATTACAAACTCTGAATGGCTTCAACAAGGACTTTTTTTTTTAAACTGACAATATCTGTTTGGTTTATGCCCTTTTAAGGAAAGTGTCTCAGTAGCAGGGCTGTTGAGTAAATTATCACATTACAGAAACCTTAAATGTTCTGTCAGGCATACACTACATGGTTATATCCACTCTTTGCTTCTGTGGAGGTGCTTTTGTGGTCAAGTCTTTGGGTCAAACATGAGGTGCAAGACTGTAGATGTGTTGATTCCAGTCCTGAAATGTTAATGTTGCTGCAGCGTGACATGACAGCTCCAAGGATAAGATGGTGAAACCCTGTGCAGTTTGTGGATAGAGTGTATAGTATTCCTGACTTTGTTTGCTCCATTCTCTATTCTGAAGTAACACTTACTCTACTATCACACACAAATCTTCAGTCATATGCCTTTGAGCCAACTTTATCAAACTATATTTCAAGATATACTTTTCTTTCTTTTGCCTACCCCAGTCTCTGGTGTTGTATGCTGTTACATGCATGAATGCCTGACTGTGCCCATAGTGAGCCTATTAATCTTGTATATATGAAACACAGCTGAATATATGTACAGATTTTTGCACTGGTTGTCAGTCATTTTCCAGCACTTGTAAATAATGAAAATACTAAAATATCTGGAAGACTTGTAATGCAGTGTTTTCCATAAAATAAAAAGAAAATCCAGTATTGACATCCATATACCCATCATCAGCAAGGCTGCCAACTCTTACATTGGCTGAGACTTGCCCCATAAAGTGTAATGGCACAGTCTCACCACACATTTCTTAATCTCTCTCAATTAATCTGAACACTCATAACTTTAAAATGTGAATTATTGTGACAGAGCAATATTTTTGTGGACAAGTTGAGCAAAACCTGTATTAAAGTACATAAATGTTTTACATCAAGTTGATGTCCTGTTTTACGTGAGGTTGAGGGGGCAGTCGTGGGCTGGAGGTTAGAGAACCTGTCCTGTGACCGGAAGGTTGCCGGCTTGATCCCCTGAGCCGACGGTACGTGACTGAAGTGCCCTTGAGCAACGCACCTGCTCCCCAGGTGCTGCGGATAGGGCTGCCCACACCCTGTGCAAGTGTCATACTGCCCCCTAGTGTGTGTGCGCGTTCACTATGTGGTGTTTTACTGCACGGCTGGGTTAAAATGCAGAAGTGAAATTTCCCCATTGTGGGATATAAGGGTCACTTAATGCAAGTAGTGTTAAGTAGTCGTGGAAACAGATGTACAATTGAGCATGCCAATGTTTTTGTGTCAGTTCTGATTTTTTAAGTAATATTTGAGATGGAATTTCACTTTGTCTTTGCAGACAAAAAAATCGTTGTATACCCAAATGGCACCGATGGAATGATTCAGTGTGAACTTTTAAACAAAATTGAATTAGTATATAATGACATTAATTAATGCCTGAAAAAGTGCATTAAGGACCTACAATACTGAACATAAAAGAGTAGGATTATTGTACAACTATAACCTATTAGTGAGTGTAAAAATAGGAACTTTGACCAAATATTTGTCAAAAATTTTAAAGTAAAAACACTGATCTGAGATCAGGTTTAATGAGTTTTATGTAATTCTATTTTGTGTTATATAAAAGCAGTTAGCTGACCCCAGATCAGCGTTCTTACGGTGAGAAGTTTGCTAAATATTTGCCATTGTATTTTCTTCTTAGCAGCATTTTGAAGTAATACTGTAGTAATTTAAGAAATACTGATTATCTACAACTACAGTGGCATCTGTGGATTCCACAGTTCATTCTAACATCTCTGAGAGTAACTGCATGAGCCACAGGGCAGCCTGAGTCTCAATACATAACGCAACTTATTTGCCCTAAAATGAGTGAGTGCTATTGTGAACAGCAATGGAAAAAAGGCCTCTGGAACACAGTGCACCAGTTTCCTGTCCTGTGTGCAAGCTGTTAGTCAGAGAATACAATGTATTCATTGAAATGGAAACAGTGAACACAATCCCCGGGTAACAGCACATGATAAACACACAATTTTAGGATGTCGTTTCGGTTAATCGGTATTAATGCAAAGCTAAAAGCACAGAACACAATGGATAAACTGCACTTTTATTATGGCACTGAAAAAGTAGGCATATAAAACTGGTGGAAACGTGAAGTCTACAAAAAATATGGTATTGCTATAAGATTTGTGAGATGAACAGATAACAGTACCTGAAAGCAGTCTGTAGGAAGCTGATCAATTTGAGACAGAGACTGATAACTTTCAGTGATACTACGGACCTCATGTAACCCTTAAAGGAATATTCCAGTGTTACCCAGCCTAATCTTTACCCGCTGTGTCAGAAGCACACGGATTATGACAGACCGTTATTCTGATGTTTCCCTGTGGCTAGTAAAAGGGCAGAAAACCCACTGACTTGCAACATACAGTCGTATGCGTATTTTAAACACCCCCTGGTCAAATTACATGGTTTTTCCAAGTGAAAATAAGTTAACACATGTACTACAGCAAGTAAACTTAAATATGGCAACTTTCTACAGAATTAGGTGCACAAATTCTAATTATCTGCTGGATTTAACATTTAGGGGAAAATATTACATATTAAATGTGCCATAACATTAATACATGCCACACACTTACATCAGCAAATAAATAGTAATTAAATGCACTAAAATGCATGTTTTCTGTTCTCTCAACAAAACCTAATTTGACTGGGGTGCCCAAACTTTTGCGTATGACTGTATTTAAAAGAAGACTGCAGGCTTTTTCTCGAAATACATGGAAATAACTGTCAGTGGCAATCAACCGCACGCTACAGCAGACTTAGATTAGACTGAAAAATACTGGAGGACTCCTTTTTAACAGAACACTCACGCATAACTGAGTATAGCTGGACTAAACAGCTCCTGTGAACAGTGTGAACCTCAATACTTTTCTTAGAAAAAAGAAAACACTGAATGAACTGAATGTAACTGGTCCATTGTGAACAGACTATTCCACACTATTGCAATAATACTGAGTATCAACAGGTGAGTGAGAAGGTTAAGTAAGGCTGGCTTAGGTGAGAGACTACCTACTGTATGCCCTCTCCTTTTTGGACCTCTCTAGGCTTTTGTCCATGGTCTTCTCATTCTCTCCTCTGCATTTCGGGCAGAACCACTTCCCTTTGGGCTTATGGTGGAGGCCAACACAGGAGAAGTGAAACCATTCGATCGGGCATTTGTCATTATCGCAGCAAATCATCTCTCCGTAAGAGACCTGCTCACACAGGCAGTAGGTGGGCTCATTCGGATCGATGGGCAGGTCAGCCGGTGATGCCTCTCGCTCCTGCTTGGCTTTCGACCTCTTTTTCTTTTTCGACGACGACGTCGATGAAGTCTTGGGCTTTTTCTCTTTTGGTGTTCCTGCTCCAAGGTCTTCACCGTGGTCTAAGTTGTAGCTGGTGTTTTCTCGGTTCTCTGAGCCACTTTTTTGCCTTCGCGAGCGTTTCGCACCAGACTTATCTACCGACCCTGGTGTCTCGTCTCGCTTTTTGTCTGTGCTTGGTTTGCCCAGCGAAAGCAACGGAGTGGACAGTGGTGTCATGGTTACTGTCGTTATGGCAGCAGATGAAGCGCTGCCCACGGACACGGCGCTCTCAGGTGAGCTCTGACAGGCCTGGAAAAGCTCCACCTGCCACTCAAATTGACGAGTGCGGTTCTCCACCAGCTCCACCATCTGGCCTGCGATCTGGATCTTCTCATCTCCGAGCTCCTGAGCGCGGATTAGAGAGCACTGAATGCAGTGCAGGAGTCGCCGCCTCAGCACCGGGTCTGATTCTTGCCGGTGTCTCTCATAAGCGTCATTCAGCTCCTTCAGGATCTCTGCAAAACCAGCAATTACATACATTACAGAGGATAAATTAGCAAAAATATATTTACTTTTTAATTATGATCTGAATTCATAGGTTACAAGAACTGGAAACCAAGACTGCTGCATAAACCAGTGTGGCCAAATAACCATAGTCAAGGGTGCAGATAATACAAGCTTAAATTTCTTACATAACTCCTGTCTTTCTGTCACATTACTGACCCAAAACTGAGTAAAAGTGAAGAAATAAAATTAACTTTTTTGGTGATTTGATAGAACTTGTTTATATTGTGAACTTTACTTTGGAATGTGTTTATTAAGTTCATCTGTAAATGATGACTTTACAAAAAAATAATGACATAGTAGCTTAAAAAGCAGTTTGGGTGCTGAACAATATGAGATTTAGCATCCATAAAACTTAAATGTTAGTTCTGAGTTGATGATAACAGTATTACTACAAGTAACAAAGTTAGGATCTAAAGTTTTAAGTGTTCATTGTTTTATAAATTAAATTTGTTTTTCTCATTTTTTTTATTCTAAAAGCAGTATTTTAAATAAGATCTGTTAATCTTGTTAAGCCTTATTTGGAATCAGAATGAGACTTTACGCAAGTTTCTCATATTTCTGAAGTTTCTCTCCTGATAAACAACTGCTTTGCCTCACAGATGACTCAACTTTTCTGTGTATGACTCATCTCGCCCAGGTCTTAGGTGAACAACATTTACATGAGAAACATCTAATCATTGTCTTTTATAAGTCTCTTCTACTTCTCAGAAATCTTTCAGCAGTCTATGAGCAATAAGCGCAAAAGAGGTCCTATGTTTTTTCTCCAGAACTCTCGATTAAATGCTTATGTTCATCTCCTCTTCTCAGGTAGGTGGTATTCAAATCCCTGATCCTTCATTAATACAATATTGAGACTGTATTTATATCTTCAGAGATAAAGAAAGGCTGATATCTTACGAAAGACATTCCCTTGTGCTCTCCCTATAGAGAGAGCTGTTTGGGTTCCTTTTACTCAGGAATGTGAGTCTGGTTCCTATGTGCTTTCAGAGAGAGAGAGAGAGAGAGAGAGAGAGAGAGAGAGAGAGAGAGAGAGAGAGAGAAGTAGGACAGAGCAGTTTACACGTCTACATGTTGATAATGTTTAAGGGGAATTCCAACTATTTAATTTTATTTTTTTAATAATTCAGTTTTTCATTGTAGAGAAACTTACAGACTCTTGATTTCTTTACAGTGGTGGTGATGGGAACCAGGGGTCACAATGTCTACAACACAAGTATAGTCATTTCATTTACTATCCAAAACCACCAGTAAATCTAAACAAGCCTTCTGGGTTTTATATGTAATATTGAGAATGGTAAAATAGTCATACAATTGAAAAAATAAGTTTTCTTTGGGGACCATTTTGCCTTACAACACCCTACAACACCCTACATGTATCCCTCTACCATGAATGGATTAAAGTAAATGGACAGCAGTGGCAGTAGAGGTCATTGGAACCAGACATCTCGAGAGTTTAATGCCTCTGAAAGCTTCCTCACAGAAAGCTATTACATGAAATGGTTAGACATATACTGCCTCATGTCTGAGACACTGCTTTACGATAGTTTTGTGATAAAGTTTTGGCTTAAAATGTATTTTAATCCATTTATTTCACACCATTCATGACGGAGGGGTCCCCAAAATAGTCCCCAAAGAAAACCTTTTTGCTCAGGTTTTATTACTACTTTATCATCATCAACATTACATGTAAAACTCGGAAGGCTCGTGTAGGATCACTGGTGGTTTTGGACAGGTTAGTACAGAAAATAGCTATTTTGTGTTGTAGACATGGCGACCCCTGGTTCCCATCACCACCACTGTAAAGAAAAAAGAGTCTTGGAATCTCTCTACAAATAAACAATTTACATCAAACCACTCTGAACGACACTGTTTACATCTCAAGGTCTGAATTACGCACATTTTTTTGTAAAAAATGGTAGAATCCCCCTTTAAAGAAGTTAGAAAAGCTCACTTGGAGAACTAAACTCGGCGCGCTAGTTCAAAAGCTAACGTTAACGTATGAAAGCTAACTTAGCCGACCGCAGCTAACCTAGCCGACTAGTTATCTACAGCCTCAGATAAAGTTTCTATAAATGTTATGCTGGGCTGGCTACGTTCATATTTATACATTTATGTAGGTATTTAATATTTACATTTACAGCTGTAGAGTGGTGGTGGTGTTTATTTCTCCGGTAAGGTTACGACGGACTATTTAGCCCATTAGCCTGCGGCTAGCCTGTGTTGACATTCTTAAAATGACCCTGTTAAACTTCTTTCATAAAAAATATAACCTATTATATCCACATAAGACAACAGAAGCTGCCAGAGTAACAGTCAATGTTATGTATTTCAGGAGGGAAAAGGTTACACTGAAGCTGAAGTCAGCTTCTGATTCGCCAGCTTCTTGTTCGAATTCTCCCGTTCCACCTTAAATGGTGCTGCAGTTACAGTCAGGCGACTGAGGCGCCAGAATGTAACTGCGGCAACATTTAAGGTGGAACGTTGAAATTCGAACAAGAAGCGTGCGAATCCACTTAGCCGGCTATGCTAGCTAGCTAACTAACTAAGCAAGCAAGTAAGTTAAGTCTTGTTTAGTGAGGTTTAATGCTGTTGTACGCTTTCATTAAGCGCTCTTAGTTAGCGTTAATAACCAACCTTGATATTTTCCGTCTATCTCTCTCATCAGTGAAACACATCTCTGCAGGTCCAGCGGTAAAGATTCAACGAGGTCCAGATACTCCTCCACATAATTAGTCACAACGTTCAGCGACTCCCCGTTTGCAGGGCTCAGCATGTTTTTTCAGGATCCAGGTTAGCTCAGCTTCGTGGTTTTATCAGTTAAGTGAGTTCCCAGGTTCTGATTTCGCGAAGCGTGGTTTTACTACCAAGGAGAAAAGTTGCACACCTCTCCTCTTTAACAGTGTTGTTGTGTTTTCCCTCACAGCACATCTCCAGCTCAAGCTGCCGGTAGGGGGCGTTTAATAGTAAGAGTAGTAAGGCAAGTTTGTAGACAGGAGCAGCCCATACTGTTCTGGGAAGGCTTTAGATGGTGGAACATTGTTCTGATGATTTGATTGCATTCTGCCACAAGAGCATTAGTGAGGTCAGGTACTGATGTTGGATGATCAGTTCTGGATCACTCCAACTCATCCCCAAGGTACTGGATGGAGCTCCATCACTCCAGAAACACCTCTCAAAATGTACAAACCGAAAAAAGAAGGTTCTTCAAGGGTTCTTTAGTAAAGAGTTCCATGAACCATGAGTTCTACATAAAAACATTTCATGCTTAAATAGGTTTTTCCATGGTGAAATGGTTAATCAGAATGGAGAATGTGTTGTATATGTTCTATATAGCACCAAAAAGGGTTCTTCTACTGTTACGATGTCATGCTTGTAACAATAGAAGAACCTTTTTTGGTGCTATATAGAATGATTTTCAAAAAGATTATATGCAGAACCATGTACACTCTTAAAAAAGATGGTTCTTCAGGGTTTCTTTAGTAAAGAAAATAGTTCTGTATAGAACCATGAACACCATCAAAGAACCCTTTGCATGACTAAAGGATTCTTTGCATCATGAAATTGTTCTTCAGACTGATGGAGAACATGGTGTCTATGGTTCTATATAGCACCAAAAAGGGTTATTCTATTGTTACAAGCTTGACACCTTGATAATAGAAGAACCTTTTTCGGTGCTGTTAAGAACCATTTTCAAAAAGATTCTATTTAGAGCCATTTACAGCACGCTCTCCATCAATCGGAAGAACTTTCATGATGCAAAGAACCCTTTGAATGTTCATGGTTCTATATAAAACCATTTTCATTACTAAAGAACTCTTGAAGAACCAACTTTTTAAAACTGTAGAATACAGTCAATCAGTCTGAAGAACCATTTCACCATGCAAAGAACCATTTGAGTATTAAAAGGTTTGATGTAGAACTCATGGTTCTAAATGGAACTATTACCTTTACTAAAGAACCCTTGAAGAACGATCTTTTTAAAGTGTGTAGTGTCATCTTTAGGGTCGTTATTAGGAGGTTGTAGTTTTCAATGTGAGCTCCCCAGAGAACAGAAAAATAAATGAGTTTGTGAGTGAATGTTTGTTTATAGGAGCAAACCAATTAAAACAGAAAGAGAAAAGTGCTGATCCTTGATCATATGTGATGCCACGCACGCCCTAAGGAGGACACAAAATTGGCACAAAGTTGCTTTGATCCTTCACTATGTCCAAAAAAGTATTCAGACAGGGCTTCTAATTTGTGAATTCAGCTACTTTAAGGTGCGCCAGTTGCTGACACAGGCATTCAGTTGCACACACAGCATGTATATTTTCTCCATAGAAAAGCATTGCCAATAGAATGGGATGCTCTGGAGCAGCCACACATGAGGTCCACCTAAGGTCACCATGTCTAGTGCCAGGCATCAGCTAGAGGGGTATAAAGCCCCCCAGCTTTGGGCTGTGTCGCAGTGGGACTGTGTTCTCTGGAGTGATGGAGCTCCATCCAATACCTTTGGGATGAGCTGCCATGATCCAGAACTGATCATCCAATATCCGTACCTGACCCCACTAATGCTCTTGTGGCTGAATGCAATCAAATCCTTACAGCAATGTTCCAACATCTAGTGTAAAGTTTTCCCAGAAGAGTAGAGGCTGTTACTACAGCAAAGGGGGACAAACTCCCTTATAATACCATTGAATTCAGAAGAAACACTGGATGCGTAGCAGGTGTTCGGAACAAGGCTTTTGAACAAAACGTCATACCTTATATAATACATACACAATTATCTACATTTCTATGCTGAAATAATTTGAAAAACACACTGATATAGTACACAGAGGACTGCAAACAGTGAGTTTTCAAAGTTATAGATAGGCTCCTCAGGCTTAATCCCCAAATTGCCTGTTTTTTGTGATTCACCTCTTCTTTTGGGTGGTTTTCCTGGACAGGCTGGTAAACGTTTAATGAAGGTTCCAGGAGAACTTTAACAAAGGTGAGAAACTCAGATCTCGGGTATTAAAAAGTATTCCACAGTACTACTATCAGTACTAACTTGCATTACTATAAATAGTAATGCAATTTATTCTTGTGTCCTGTAAACCAATCAGCTAATCAATTAATATCTTTCTTTCAAACAGGAAACCCAAAAGGATAAGCACTTTCTCAGGTGTTCTAGATACAGACCAGTCTCAAATCTGTCTGAATTCAGTGTGTTGGTGTATTGTATGGTGGTGTATCTTCTAATGAATAAGAGTTCATAAAAAAAATAAATCAGACTTGTGTTGTGGGATACACTGCTGCTTTTGGAAGCAATTCAGCTTTAGGAATGTGGCCAAATGCATTTTTCACCTTTGGATCAAATACATCACTTGAACCTCTATATAAAGTGCAGGCATGTGAGAGTCCTGCTGAGTGCTGATGAATCCAGTCCGGTGTAAGGGTCAGTGTATGTATGTAGTCTCCGCTGTTGCATAGTTTTTAGACCTTGTATTTTTGAGTTTTTGCGCAGTGTTGGTGTTATATGACCAGTGTCATTGTCTTCTAATGGAAAAGACGGCTGATCTTTAAGGATGAAGCAGCTACTTGTTTTAACATCCTTTTAGGTAACCAAATCAAATCAAATCACGTTTATTGTCACATTTCATTTACACAGGTGCAAAGGTAAGTGAAAATCTTAGGAGGCATAACCCCGTGTAGTACTTAAATACCAAAATAAATAAATAGAATATAAATATATATATATATACACATACAAATTAATATACATTAATAATATACACGTATTGCACGTATTGCACCATTTCCAATGTACTGTTCCAATGTTTTTGTAACAGTAATATAGTTTATGATGTAAAAGCTATGATGCGTACAGATATATATCATCATCATATATGCCATTAACGAGTCTGAGATAGATAAATTAAATGCAGGGTACACAGGGGATAGAATATTGATATATACATTCCAGATTAAACAAGATATAGATAGAAGATGTACAAGATGTCAATTTATATGTGCAGGTATAGATTTGCTAGATTTTAATTACAGTAAGCTCAGAGTGAGTCTGTTCCCACATAAATAGTCAAGTGCCAAAACGCCTTTTTATGTCACTTTTGTCTCCAAAATTAAGGGTTGTTTGCAAAAGTGTTTGTGATGATGTTTAATTGTTCGCTCCTTTAAAAAAGAAAGTACTGATATCTGATTAGATGTGGTGCCACTTTTGTCCTGAGGAGGTCACTATTGCAGTGATGATGAGATTTCAGCACAGAACTGCCCGCATCTTATTTTTCCTAGAGCCCCAGTCAGTGTTCACTGGCAGCTTTGAGTTTTACAAGGAAAACAACACCCAATGAAACAGTGGTGACTTTTAGACAGTTCCTAACTGAGAATGTAACTGAAGTAATGGCCTGAGTAATTATTGCTGACAGAATAGTTATTGTAGTGATTATAAGTTATAGTTATTATCATTATTTGATAAGAATGGTTATTGTAATTCAGTGCAATGTCTAAGTAGTTTAGACACAGACACACAGGAGACGAAAAGAAATCCGGCACATTAGCATTTTCTTAAATAAATTTATGATTAGTGCCTGATTGCAAATCCCACAGACACCATAGACATCACTAGATGGTGAGTATCTTCTCTAGTGATGCCCTACCCGACTTGTAATGCTGCCATTTTCAGTTCGTGCTTGTTTTAGTGTTTTTTTCTTCAGTCTCATTTTTTGTGTTTAAAATTCTGCTTAGTTGAGGTCAGGTTAGATGACTGACTTGGCCAGTCAAAAACTTTTCGGCCATGAAAAACTATTTTGGGTAAAATTGATTTGAAGTTTCAAGACAGTCTAGCTAAATTACACTGAAATGCCTAGTAAAGTATTAACTGGGTATTAATTGGGTATCTAGGTATGAATTGGGTAAGTCTGAGGTACAAACTCAACAGTACTGCATACTTTTTACCCTCCAAAAAAGTACCAGACGTAAAAAGATTGTACACAAACTACAGTCTGAAATAGTATGTATCTGTTTAATATTATTGCTGCAAATAGAGACATTTTACGATGACATTTATCAGCTTTACCCCTTACCAAGCCATAGACCTGCTGGTGGGCCCAAAGTTCTATTACACACTTCTATAATCTAAGAAAAACTCTATTAGTTTGCATTGAAGTCCTTGTAGTTACTGAATAATAAGACCTACGATGAATAAGCCTGGAATGTTATGGGGTTAATAGTTAGAATAAGTTGCTAATTTAGTTAGACTTAGTTAGACTGATTTGGTACTTGGTTATCATTTCAACCACAGCAATTACACAGCACTTTGGAGTTTGTACTACAGACCTACTCACAGGTTGAATACCAGACTGAAAATACCAGACTGAATAGCAAGAATCTGTTGGTAATTTCATTGTGATTTAGTTAAACTGTCTTTATCTAGTACTTTGGAGTTTGCACCTCATACTTATCTGGTTGATAGATAGAACTTAGGTAACTGTAAAGGAAAGTGACCAAGTTTCATCCCGCATTTGGCAGCCGTCCATGCTTATGCCACCACCTTTCACACATAAACAGGATTTGCATTGGATCATGCACAATTTCTTTTTTATGCTTACATTCTTTTTTAATCTGGTACAGATTAAAATTCTTGCTTTGTATGTCCTTAAATGTTAATTTCAACAGCCCTTACAACTGTAATCTGGTCTTCCTTGAGATTTACTAGTTTGCAAGGTTTGCATCTTGTGGAGGATCATGCTGTATTTTTCTCTTCTTGTCTTTGACACACCTGTGCCTGTTCTGGAGAGTCTTATTGATCCGTTCAACTGACTAAACATAATCTTTGGTGACTAGTGTGGTCTTCTGTGGTCTGTTCATGTGTCTGCTGTTGCTGAACTCACATAAATGCACCATTAAAATACTATCGCTGTCCGCATAGTTATTCACTGTACTGTAGGT